TTCTCGCTCAAGGTTTGTTTTAGCTGATGAAGGACGGCGGGGGCAGTGCAAGTGCCGTGCCCATCCAACCAACCCCGTAACAGGTGAACGGGCCGTCGGCGACCTTAGGCTCGCAGACATCGCCACGAACGCCGCCACCAACGACGGGAGCACGACAACCTCAGAGGTCACCACGCGCGCACGGTGTCCTCCCGTCCTGCGCGCCGGCCAGCCTCCTCCGGTCCTTCCGGAGACTGGAGGTGACGGCCGAGCTCTACGCAAAGTCCTGTTCGCTTCGCTGAAAAGTCATGGTGAATAATATTGTTTGTTGATTTGGTGTAAGAGAAAAACAATGTACCATGACGAATAAGTCAGGCTGATAAGTTCAAAGTGTCATATGCTAGAAGGTGAATGCTATTTCGCCCAACCATATGCTGTGTTTAGTTCGTGAATTTTGGGAATTTGGCTACTGTAGCACTTTTCGTTTTTATTTGGTAATTAGTGTTCAATCCTGGACTAATTAGGCTCAAAACGTTCGTCTCGTAATTTCCATCTAAACTGTGCAATTAGTTTTTTTCTGTCTACATTTAATGCTCCATATATATATCGTAAAATTCGATGTGATGACTACTGCAGTAATTTTTCGAAAAACTTTTTAAAAACTAAACAAGCACACACCAGTCATATGCGAGAAGGTGAATGCGTATCCGGCACGTACCCAAAAGAGACATGCTCCTCCTGGGTTCCCTCCTGCTGCTAGTTTCCGGCTGACAGGTGCGCACTCTTCCGTTGACTCGCACGCGCTTCCATGCTTGGCTTCGCCCATACGCCACTGCAGGATCCGATCGGCATGGACGCATGGTGGTAGGTATGGATGAAAACGGTACGGATATTTATTCGACCGTCCGTTCGACCGAATAAATATGAACACTTATCTAGATGGTTACTCGGATATCCGTTTTTTTTTCCGGATACGGATACTAAAACGGATATCTTAGGCGGATATCAAATACGGATGTAATATCATCGATATCCGGCGGATATCGGATAATCCGGATAAGTATCGGATATATCCGGATATTTAAAAACGGATATTATCCGGATATTTATTCAAAATTTAAAACTCACAAATTTGAACCATCCAAACTATCTCAAATGGAAAGTTGACCAAAACAACAATTGTAGATCTTGATGAGTTGAACAAACTTGGTATTCAAAACTTTTCAATTTGAAGTCATTTAGAGTTCATAATACTAGAGTCAAAGTGTTGTTTTTTCATTTGACCAAATTTGACTTGGTCAAACTTGCTCAAATGAGACACTAAATGACCTCAGATGAAAAAACTCTGAATACCAAGTTTGATCATCTCAGCAAGATCTACAATTGTTACATAGCTCATTTTTCTATTTGAGAAAGTTTTATCAAACACTAGTCATAAATTCTTGAATCTCATATAGACTTTCTGAAACTGTCACACACTTGTAAAATTTAAACTATATTTTGTTCAAACTTTCTCAGATGAAAAAATGACCTATATAAGGATTGTATATCTTGATGAGATGAACAAATTTGGTATTCAAAACTTTTCAATTTGAGACAATCTAGGGTTCCGAAAACTAGTTTGTAAACGTCGAAATTTAAAAATCACAAATTTGAACCGTCCAAACTATCTCAAATGGAAAGTTGACCAAAATAAAAATTGTAGATCTTGATGATTTGAACAAACTTGGTATTCAAAACTTTTCAATTTGAAGTAATTTAGAGTTCATAATACTAGAGTCAAAGTGTTGTTTTTTCATTTGACCAAATTTGACTTGGTCAAACTTGCTCAGATGAGACACTAAATGACCTCAGATGAAAAAACTCTGAATACCAAGTTTGATCATCTCAGCAAGATATACAATTGTTACATAGCTCATTTTCCCATTTGAGAAAGTTTTATCAAACACTAGTCACAAATTCTTGAATCTCATATAGACTTTCTGAAACTATGTCACACACTTGTGAAATTTAAACTACATTTTATTCAAACTTTCTCAAATGAAAAAATAGCCTATATAAGGATTGTAGATCTTGATGAGCTGAACAAACTTGGTATTCAAAACTTTTCAATTTGAGACAATCTAGGGTTCCGAAAACTAGTTTGTAAACATCAAAATTTAAAAATCACAAATTTGAACCGTCCAAACTATCTCAAATGGAAAGTTGACCAAAACAAGAATTGTAGATCTTGATGAGTTGAACAAACTTGGTATTCAAAACTTTTCAATTTGAAGTCATTTAGAGTTCATAATACTAGAGTCAAAGTGTTGTTTTTTCATTTGACCAAATTTGACTTGGTCAAACTTGTTCAAATGAGACACTAAATGACCTCAGATGAAAAAACTCTGAATACCAAGTTTGATCATCTCAGCAAGATATACAATTGTTACATAGCTCATTTTCCCATTTGAGAAAGTTTTATCAAACACTAGTCACAAATTCTTAAATCTCATAGACTTTCTAAAACTATGTCACACACTTGTGAAATTTGAACTACATTTTGTTCAAACTTTCTCAAAATGAAAAAATGACCTATATAAGGATTGTAGATCTTGAATCCATGACCATGACTCCATGAGACCCATGAAGCAATGTGCTTGGCTATTTCTACTCATGCCACGAAGATTGGTGCTTATATGATGTTTGATGTATGATGTATCTGTATCTTTATCTTATTTGTTGTTTTACTCTTTAGTCTTTCGGCTTAATCTAGATGGATTATGGACTCATAGAGTGGTGTAATGATTTGCGCACGTTTGATATATATATATATATATGCTGCTTTTACTCAATATCCGAATAGATATTTGTATCCGACCTTCTCCGAATCCGATTCATACCGTATTCGATACTTATTATTCAGATCCGGCGAATGCGAAGTCAATCCAGATTCAGATATGTATCCGTAACGCGATATCCGTGCCCGAATCCGAATCCGTTCGAAATATGAAAACAAATATAATATGAGTGATATCCGTTCGTATCCGATCCGTTTTCATCCCTAGTGGTAGGCTATCGCGACGGAGATTAGGCCATTGCCATTCCTGCGTGCATAGAGCTCGACACTGGATTAAACGAGTTCCTCGTGTGAGTAAACATGGCGAGCGTCGGAGAGGCGGTGTGGAGAGCAGTCACTGGGCATTTTTTCGAAACCCGAAAACCGAATCGAACCGAGGCAAAGCAAAGCGAACCGAATAGTCGGTAGTTCGGTTTTGGTTCGATTTGATTTTCGATTCTGTGAAGTTCGGTGTTTGACGGCCGGTTTGGTTTCTACGACATACCGAATCAAGTACCAAAAACCGAACTAAAAGTGTCTTTGTAATTAACTTTTTTTCTGTTGTACCAAGAAACCGAACTAAATACCGCAAAAACCAAACTTAAAATGTGTTGTAACCTGTTTTTTTTCTGTTGTACCGAGAAACCGAACTAAAAACCGAAGTTTGTCATCATCAATTGTAAATCTTGTCTGATATTTTTTTGCATCGGTTTATTCGGTTTTAACCGAAAAACCGAACTAAAAAACCGAACCGAAATTGGTCGGTTTTTGAAATTTTAGCAAACCGATCGGGGGTCATTTTCTGGAAACCGAATTTTTGAAAAACCGAACAAACCGAACCAAACTGTCGGTAAAAACCGAATCGCCGTTTGAGAAGAACGGTGGCCTCAGCTCTGCATTCCAAAGCATCCAAAGCAATGGTTGTGGGCCTGCTTTCGTTTGGTTGGGCTTGTTCATTCTTGGTTTGTAAAGAAAATTTCTTTATGCGGTTTGGTGCGACAGAAAAAAATACTATTCTCGATTTGAAAATTAACGATCGCATTTACGACAAGCACAAGCCAATCGGACAGTACGGGTGTTGCTTCTGCGTATGGAAGAGCAAGCTCCGGTGACACTACATATATATCCTCCTTTTGTTATTGCTCGTTGGTTTATAGCCGGGCTTATTTACCGACCAGCAAAGTTCAATTTTTCTCTTCCAACAAACCGGCACCAAATTGTACTTATCATAGACCCGATAAAAACAAAAGTCGACGAAAAAATCTATAGGACCCCCCCACCTTTCATGCTTGATCTACTTCACCCCCAACTATGGCGCGACGGTCAGTGGTCATTTTACCCCGAACTTTCTAAAACCGTCTATTTTACCCCCCGGGAGGTTTTTCTAAATTATACTTTTTGATAAATTTAAATGGGTTTGCTTGATAACAATGGTTTTGAATTATTTATTTATTTATTAAAAGTTTGAATTTTGAAAAATCATAGTAAATCATAGAAAAATCATAAAAATGAAAAATCTAATTTTATTGGACTCCACATGAGTAGATCTACACAGTGAATATATAATACAGTATGCTTTAGCACAATTTTTTTTGTAGCTTTAGATTAATTGAAAAATCCAATTTTGTTTGTAATTAATTAGAATTTATCTATAGCTAAGTTATACATAGTTCAATGAGTACGAAATTTTTACTATAGTTCAAGCATACAATAATTAGCGTACCATAAAAATTTCACCACAATTGGACCATAGAAGCCGCAGCTATGAATTATTCCAATTAATTACAGACAAAATTAGATTTTCTAATTAATCTAATGCTACAGTAAAAATTTTGTATTAAAGCATACCGTATTATATATTCACTATGTAGATCTACTCATGTGGAGTCCAACAAAATTAGATTTTTTATTTTATAATTTTTCTATGATTTACTATTATTTTTTTAAAATTCACCGAAAATAAATAAAAAAAGAAAATTCAAAATCACTGTAGCAAAACCGCCGCTGAAAACCACCCAGGGGGTAAAATATATGGTTTTAGAAAGTTCAGGGGTAAAATAAACGATTTCATAGTTTGGGGGTGAAATAGATGAAGTATGAAAGGTGGGGGTTAAGTAGACTTCTTCCGCAGGCCGACTGATCGCGAGCAGGCACATCGAACGCCATTCACAAGCCAACTCACTTGCAAAAAGCTTCCCGTCTGATGGAGATGCCACGCCGGCGTAATAAGCCCCTGCTCCTCTCAGCCATCTCGCTGCTGGTGCTGGCATGGCCGGCATCGTGCGCCGACCCCGTGCTCCTCCCGGTGTCCAAAGACACGGTCACCTCCCTCTACACCATCCCCGTCAGGGACGGCGCCAACCACGTCATCTACCTGGCCGGCCCGCTCCTCTGGTCCACGTGCGCCGCCGACCACCTGCCGCCGAAGATCTCCTGCCATGACACGGCGTGCAAGCTCGCCAACGCCTACCGCGCGCCACGCTGCCACGAGGCGGCCCAGCTCTGCGCGAGCAAGACCCAGTGCACGGCGTACCCGTACAACCTCGTCACGGGGCGGTGCGCGGCGGCGAGCCTTGTCCACACCAGGCTCATCGCCAACACCACCGACGGCAGGAACTCGCTGAGCCAGGTCTCCGTGCGCGCCGTGGCGGCGTGCACCCCGAGGACGCTCCTGCCGCGGCTGCCCGCGGGCGCCGCGGGCGTCGCGGGGCTCGCGGACGACGGCCTCGCCCTGCCCGCGCAGGTCGCGGCGTCGCAGCGCGTCGCCAACAGGTTCCTGCTCTGCCTCCCCAGGTCCGGCGGCGGCGAGGGGGTGGCGGTCTTCGGCGGGGCCCCGCTGTTCCTCCTCCCCGGAGTCGGCGATCGCGGACCTCACGTCGACGCTGGCGTTCACCGCGCTCCGCCGCAGGAGAGACAACCCCCTGTACTACATCCCGGCGAGCGGCGTCACCGTCAACCAGGCACAGGTGCAGCTCCCGGCGCATGCTCTGTCCACCGGCGGCGTCGTGCTATGCACCAGGGTGCCGTACACCGCGATCCGGCCGGACGTGTACCGCCCGGTTGTTCAGGCGTTCGACAGGGCCCTGGCGCGGAACGACGCCAAGGTCCCCGTGGTCGCGCCATTCGAGCTCTGCTACCGGTCCAGCATGCTGGGGAACACGCGCCTCGGCTACGCCGTGCCGGACATTGCATTGGTACTCGAGGACGGCAAGAGCTGGATGTTTGTCAGCAGCTGCTCCATGGTGGACGTGAACGGCCAGACGGCGTGCCTCGCGTTCGTCGAGATGAAGGGGGTGAAGGCCGGGGACCTAGCCGTGGCAGCGGTGGTGGTCGGAGGGTTCCAGATGGAGAACCACCTGCTGCAGTTCGACCTGGAGCGGCGTGCAGCAACTAGGGCGCGTTTAGATGCAAAATTTTTAGGCTTGGGCTACTGTAGCATTTTTATCTGTATTTGTCAATTAGTATCTAATTATGGACTAATTAGGTTTGAAAGTTTCGTCTCACGATTTTTCACCTAACTGTGTAATTAGATTTTTTTTTTGTCTACATTTAGTAATCTATGCATGTGTCGTAAGATTCGATGTGATAAGTACTAAAAAAAATTGGAAACTAAACATGCCCTTAACTTCACAAAACAAAGACACGGTAGAGTGCGTAACCAAGAATGAGAAAGCGATCTGACCTCGTGTAGGGGGTCCCATATCCTTTGTTTTTATGCAATGTATAAGTACATCCAGGAGCCCCTGCGTGGTTTACTTCACATAACTTGTTTTGAGCATTTTTTTTAACTGCTACAAGTGAACATGTGTGCCGCACGTATGATTGAAAATCATTTCATAAACAATGGGTAAATCGTTTTTTATATATCATATCATATAAAAGTATGTGAAGCTACAACAACTCCCCATGAGCAATCTCTAATTACTGCCCCTGTGCTTCTACATCCCACGTTTTCATCAAAGGATACATCAATATTCACCATAATCTTTCCCTACGGGGTTTCTGCTATTCCTTTCGGGGTTTTGCTTCCTTCTTCATAGCTAGCTTTATAATTTCTTGTTAAGGTTGCAATGGACAGGGCTGATCTTGCTGGTCTCTGAATATTTTCTTCATGAACATGTTGTTGACGCTCCCACCAGAGGTACCAACTACCGGTTAAGATCAGCTCTGCTAGTCCAACATCAAGTGATCGAACTTATCCTCCCTTTTTCTGATTGCCCCATTGTTTTTTATAGCATATAACACTTTAACACACGTTCAAAATTCAATTACTTTGATTTTTTTTACCATTGCAGCGTATTGACATAATATTAGTTATAAAAAAAATACCTTGAGTTAAAATCTCTAGGGACGGTACCACTTGACTCGATCCATGGTGGCGTACATCACTACGGGATACTGTTAATTTACCGAGTGTGAGTAACACTCGGTAAATAGTGCTACACACTCGGCAAACTCTTTACCGAGTGCCACACTCGGTAAAGTGGACTCGGCAAACAATGACTCGGTGAAGTTATTTTACCGAGTGTCTAATATCGGCACACTCGGAGCAGAGACTTACCGAGTGCTACAATGACACTCGGTAAACAATTATGACTTGATGATTTCGATCGTCGACCTCCAAACTGTTAATTTATATACGCCATCGAGTGTCACTAGCAGCACTCGGTAAATAAATTAGCATTTCGTGATTAAAACAATTCCGCAAATAAATTTTTTGAATAATGTTTACCGAGTGTTTTCACTCGGTAAAATTAAAACCATTTTCGTGATTAAAACAATTCCGCAAATAAACTTCAGAAATAATGTTTACCGAGTGTTTTCACTCGATAAAAAGTAGTCAAATATTTCCGAGTGGGGAAGCGGCACTCGGTAAAAAATGGCACCCTCGGCAAAATTCACAGAATCAGAACCAATTTGGTTCTGTTGGCTGTTTTACCGAGTGCTACACTCGGTAAAACTGACAGAATCTCTGTTTTACCGAGTGCTACACTCGGTAAAATATGTCCACAGAATTTTTGTTTGTTTCAGTGCATATCCAGTCACAATAAGCAACAAAATCACAGGAAATTATAATAACATGACAGATAGGCAATATATATCACATATATGTCCACAAATGTCACATCCACTCACAATAACAAACATATGTCGACAAGCACCATGCAAAGTCCACAAACACCCTGGTCTCCTCCTCCTCCTCATCCTCCTCCGTGGCCGCTACGAACTCGTCGTCGTCGTCCTGTGGAGGAGGTGTCGGCTCTCGACGCCCTCATCGTCGCCGTCCTCCTCCTCCACCCTGGGCTCCACCTCCCTGGGCACGCCCTCGTCGTCGTCCTCCTCCTCCTCCCTAGGCACGCCCTCCACCCTCAGTCTATGCACGCCCTCCTCCTCCACCCTGGCTGGACCCCTCGCCACCAGCCAGTAAGGTCATAACCGACCTAATCTTCCTGATTCCACCGCCCACCATCAATCACCTGCAACAAAAGGAATAAACTATCAGTACGCATATACAAAAGTAAATGTATCATACATGTATAAAAGAGATGCAAAATAAGTAAATGTATCATACATGTATAAAAGAGATGCAAAATAAGTAAATGTATCATACATGTATAAAAGAGATGCAAAATAAGTAAATGTATCATACATGTATAAAATTGCCATAAGTACTACAGATCTTACATGTACTAGAAATAATCATCAAGATCATCGATAGGTGGGCCAAAAATCTCATCATCGCTATTGTCGACGTAATTATGATCGTCTCTCAAAGTCTCATCACTAGCGACCTTTGCTGAATGGTGTTGCTCAAGTAATAACAAGTCCTTCGCGTTGTGAACCTCCTCTCCATCATTCCCGTCAACAATGACCGTATCATTGTCTACTTCCATTGCGAGATCTACATCTAAGACAATCTCAAAACTCCCTTCTAATCCTTCTTCTTGAAAGAACTCTCCGTCATATGTGTTTGCATCGATGTTATAATCATCATCGTTTGGGACGGGTACTTTACCATCTTGACGATACTTTGTACACATCATCACACGCCTTAAGACGGTCTTTGGTTTGGCACGGGTATGAGAGATAATAAACTTGCGTGGCCTATTGGGCCACAATGTACACGTCGTCTCCTAGCAAGACGGATGACTTTAGAACTTCGACTAACCCAAGCTCAGGGGTCTTTATCACTTCTTTGGGATCAAACCAATGGCATTTGAATATGACAGGACGAAGAGGTACACAACCAGGAAACTTGAGTTTGTATATTTCTTCAATTATTCCATAGTAGTCCAACCCATACGTGTTGCTGGCGTGAAAACACCGGTATTTGTGGTTCTTCGATTGGCCGACTCTGCTCGTGCGAGTTGTGTGAAAGCGATATCCATTGACATCGTATACGAGAGAATGACTTGACCCTAAATTCAAATCCATTGGCAACTTGCCTCAACTCGGCACTCATAGACACGTCAGTTTTGGCCTGCTAGTTCAAGTAGGATGATTCGTTATATATTTGTCGAGTTGAGAGTTAAGTACAAACAACCAATGAAATTGAACAGTACCTCCTCCTTGAACCAACAAATAAAAGTGGGATTTCGTTCTCCCGCGCCATGTCTTAGAAGGGTTTCAACTTCCGCTTCGGTGGGTTCCCTCCGTGATGGACGATGGTAGAGGAGAACAAATTTGCTGTAATGGCCGTTAACAAGAGGGTTGGATGGGTGCATGCAAAATATTGACAAGAAAAGAAACAAGTTTGTGTAAAACTTATGCAATGTACGGGCCAACCTCTTCAAGGTTCCGCAACACATATAGCTGGATAGAGCGCCACTCTTCTAGGCTCAACATCTTCAAGGTAGGTTCACTTGCACTTCGAAAGTTGCCCTCGAAAAATTTGAGGGTCAATCGATTGTCGGCGAAACATTGTAACGAGGGGTGGATTATGCTGCGTTAGGAAGGTTGTCGGCATAGTATCTTGTTGTGAAGTATGACACCTCCTCCACAATGGATGCCTCTGCACAGGAAGCTTCAATTTTGCATTTATTTTTGCATTTTGTTCTAAGAACCTTTAGGCATCGCTCAATTGGATAGCACCAACGGGCATGCACAGGGCCCCCCCATTTTTGCCTCATATGGTAGGTGCAAGAGCAAATGTTGCATCGGATTGAAGAAGCCAGGGGGAAAGATCTTCTCCAACTTGCAGAGCAACACCGTGGCCATTCTTTCCATTTCTTCAATCTCGGTCCGAGATATCTCCTTAGCACATAGCTTGCGGAAGAACATGCTCAACTCTGCCATCACTCACCAGATGTGATCAGGGAAATAGCCACGAACCATCACCAGAAGAAGGCGTTCAATCCATATGTGGTAATCATGACTCTTGAGCCCTGTGATTCGCATGGTACTTAAGTTCACACCCCTCCTCCAATTCGCTGCATACCCGTCAGGGAACATCAACGATTGGAACCATTGAAGAACTTCTTTCTTTTGGGCCCTCGTTAGGACGAAGTCGGCCTTAGGCTTCTTCCATGACTTCCCACGTAAGGGAGGCAACATGTTTAGCTTTGGTCTATCGCACAGCGTTGCTTGATCCAATCTAGCCTTGACATTGTCCTTTGACTTTTCCCAGTCCATGATTGTGTGAAGGACCGCCTCGGTGAAATTCTTTTCAGTGTGCATTACATCAATGTTATGTGGAAGAAGGAGGTCCTTAAAGTAAGGAAGCTTCCACAAGCACGACTTGTGTGTCCAGGCATGCTCTTTTCCATATCCCACGAAGCCCCCCTTTTCATTGTCGACCACAAGACCATCTAACATCTCAAGAACACAGGCACTGTCATCATTTCCGGTGAGAGTCTTCCTTTGTGACACCTTTTGAAAGTTCTTCTTGTCTCTCCTGAATGGGTGGTCAAGAGGGAGGAATTGTCGATGTTTGTCAAACGAAGAAAACTTGCCCCTCTTCTCCAACCAAAAGAACTCCACAGCTGACTTGCATATCGGGCATGGCATCTTCGTGTGAACACACCAGCCACAAAATAACCCATAAGCCGTGAAGTCATGCATGGAATAATGGTACCAAATATGCATTCGAAGTTTGTCTTTGTGAATCGGTCGTATGTCACTACCCCTTCATCCCATGCACGGACCAAATCATCTATCAAAGGCTCCATGTACACACTCATATTAGCCCCAGGTGTCCTGGAATTATAAGTGACAAGAAAATATTTTGCCGTTGAAAGGCGACGCCAGTGGGAGGTTGAGAGGATGGCGAATACGGGCCAACATGTGTATGGTGAAGAACCCATTCCATAAGGATCGAACCCATCGGTTGCCCGGTGCAATGCGTACATTATGAGCCTCGTCGGCTTTGTCGGTATGCTTCCGATCGAAGCTTTTCCATGATTCACCATCGGACGGATGTATCATCTTGTCGATTGTATCGGCGTCGATTTTGTGCCACGTCATCTTTTGCGGATTCCTCGCTCATGAAAAGTCGTTGGATCCTCGGTATGAAAGGAAGGTACCTCGGGATCTTTGCGGCGACTTTTGTTTTTGCGTCTTCCGACCATCACCGATTCTAACTCAATGTACCTAGATGCCTTACGCCGGACGGTACTTATCGTCAAGCATGTTCTCCCCTCGAATAAGATGCATCCGTTCGGACAAGCATGTATCTACTGCACAAACGACATCTTGAGTGCACGAAGGATTTTATTTGACTCATACGTGTTCTTTGGCGAGCGTGATCATCCGGAAGTAGGGTGCCAACTCATCATCAGCGATTGATCGAAGGATTCTCTACTCGGCTAAGCGGGACTTCACAACCATTAGGCGTGCAATGGCATCCGGTTTAGAAACATTGGTGCGCCCGTGAAGGGGTTGTTGTGCCGCATCCAACATGGCGAAAACGCCTTTGCGATTTGCTCGGCTCTCGCTCTGCACTTCCTTCATCGAAAGCCACGTCATGGTCATTTAACATTTCGCCACCCGGCTTTAGAATCAAACTCCTCAATCCGTTGTCTCACGACCTCTTCTCTCTCGCACGATGGCGTTCACCATGCATGGTCCACGGGTATAGTTCTCTACAAATCTATTGTTGACAAGATCTTTACTCATCTCCTCATATGTTTTCATTGCCTTGTTCTTACACTTCCTCACTGGGGACACCGGGCATGTCGTCGTCTGTTTGCAAATGCCTTCGTCATGAAATCATTGGCCTTCTCAATCCATTCATTTATGTATTGACCCCTCTTACGATAGTCCCGTGTACATCCACTGGCGGCGGTCATCCATCCTAACATATAGATGAT